TCGTACGAGGTGCTAACGGATGGGGGGCAATGCTGGCGCCGCCACTGCGACCAGATACGGCGACGATTCCCGGGAGAAAACCAGGAGGAGGACAGGTCAGAGGAGTCCCAAGGGAACAGCGGGGCAGTGAGGCCCATAGAGCAGGAGGGGCCAGCAGGAGAGGCAGAATCAGTAAATACAGAGAGGACCCGTGAGGCCGAAAGGACACCGGAACCAGAACCACGACTGAGCGAGCCGGTTGCACCAGACCAAACAGCCCCATCACAGCCAGCATCCTTGGAACACGAGCCAGAACCTGGAGCCCGGACCAGGGAACACCCTAGGCCGCAACGCACACGTAGGCCGCCGGCGTACCTCGAGGATTATGAATGCGACCTCCCGGGCAGGACTGGAACTTAGAGGGGAGGGGTGTTATGTACTGAGTTCAATAGGATCCAAACTGCAGCAGGCTGATTGGTCCTAGAACAATAGGATCCAAAAGGCAGCAGTCTGATTGGTCCTAGAACAATAGGATTCAGAATGCAGCAGTCTGATTGGTCCTAGAACAATGCAGCAGTATGATTGGTTGGCAGGAACCACCCAATCCTGCTCCAGATAGAAGTGAATCCACAACCTGATTGGCTTACAGTAGAATTCTGGAATTAGCCAATCATGGGCAGCCTATTGTGTAAATAATGTATATAAAGCAGATACTGTGAGGGGACATTCATTCATTCCTCCTCACCACTATGAGCTGAATAAAGAGCATGAAATCACTTTGCGACTCTGAGTATATTTCAGTCCGTATAGTAAAAGCTATGATTTTCCCAGTAGTGACGTATGGAAGTGAGAGCTGGACCATAAAGAAGGCTGATCGCCGAAGAATTGATGCTTTTGAATTATGGTGCTGGAGGAGAGTCCTGAGAGTCCCATGGACTGCAGGAAGATCAAACCTCTCCATTCTGAAGGAAATCAGCCCTGAGTGCTCACTGGAAGGACAGATCCTGAAGCTGAGGCTCCAATACTTTGGCCACCTCATGAGAAGAGAAGACTCCCTGGAAAAGACCCTGATGTTGGGAAAGATGGAGGGCAGAAGGAGAAGGGGATGACAGAGGACGAGATGGTTGGATAGTGTTCTCGAAGCTACCAGCATGAGTTTAACCAAACCGCGGGAGGCAGTGGAAGACAGGAGTGCCTGGCGTGCTCTGGTCCATGGGGTCATGAAGAGTCGGACACGACTAAACGACTAAACAACAACGACAACTGCTTGGTGGACCTTGTGGCTGTAATGAAAGAAAGGTAGATTGCACAAGCCTAAAGGCTGCCAAGCTCTGGTCTACACTGAGACGGACTGGTAGTCACTTTCTAGGGTTTCAGAATGGAATCTTTCCTAGTCCTACCAAGGGATACCTAAGATTGAAACTGGGAGACTTTGCATTCAAAGCATGAGCTGTCACTGACTTAGAGCCCTTTTCCTGAGCATCTGAATCTGGGCTCATGGATTGTTCTCCCCAAACCAACCCCCAAGTAGTATCCAAGGTTTGTTCTCATGGCTTGTTTTGGTGAAAGAAACCACAAGCCAACATTTAGACGTAATGATAAGCCAGGCCACATATTAGCTTTTGGCAATGTGGCTCAACAGTGTCCCAGTATGCTTCATGTTCTCCAATATGTTGTAACAATGGTTTATGGGCAAGCAGTTTGGGTGCACCCCCAAACAAATGCTCAGAACAGAGAAAACAAATTTCAAGAAAGGTGAACACTTCTAGATCAGTGTTTCCCAAACGTTTTTGGGCAACGGCACACCTGTTTACTGAAAAAAAATCTCGCGGCACACCACCATTAAAGCCCCGCCCCGTGACGTCAGCGCGCAGCGTCACGCCGGGAGGGACGCACAAAAGTGAAAGTTTTTTTCCCTCCCCCTTGCTGGGGAACCTCCAAGCTTTGGGGGTGGGAGGAGGCAGCAGAGCGAGGGACTGAGGGACGGCGGCAACTGAGGCGGCGGCGGCTGAGGCAGAGCTGGGAAGGGGGTTTCCAGGGGACACGGCAGCTCCTCGAAAGGCTTCTCTCAGCTGCGCTCAATCCGCCTCGGAGAGGATTTCCCCTCCGGTCCCATGCGTTCGTTTGGGGCATCGCTCCGGCTGCTCCCTCTCCCGCCGCGCAGGAGCGATGCCTCTCTCTGGCTCTCCCTCCGCGCAGGCTGAGGGAGGGAGGGAGGGGCGCGTGTGACCCGTCTCTGCTGGGAGACCAAACCCAGCGAGGCAGAGTCGCGCGGAGGCGCCCAGGCAGCGCTGCCGGCTGCGAGGAGGAGCGCCAGGCAGCAGCAGGAGGCGCGGCCTCTCCTCGCCGCCGCCGCCCCGCCTCTCGCCGCCCGACTCGCCCGCCTCCCTCCAGGCATCTCGCGGCACACGAGGCAACGTCTCACGGCACACTCGTGTGCCGCGGAACACCGGTTGGGAAACACTGTTCTAGATCAGCTTCAGTTACTGGCTCTGAGTTGAAAGTGAGTTAGGTCTTTGATTTCCATTGCCATTCAAGAGAACCAGATACCCAATTTCTTTAAAAACAACAACAAAAATGCCCCATACAATATCGGATCCATTACCAACACAGAAACTAATTTTAAAAAATATTGAAATAAAAAAATGGAGCTCGTCACAAAGTATGACAATGGCTCTGAATGTTAAAGAGGGAGAATTTTTTTTGGGAAAAAAATTAATATGGTTTATAGCAGTAATCCTCTTAAATACTTGAGGCTTTGCCAGCTTTTAGCTAACAAGCTCTGTTATTAACGGCTGCAGTGCTCCAACACTCAAAGGATTATTGTCTAAGTTTGCTGACAATGCATTGCCTACTGACCAGTTTCTAACATGCAATCTGTTATTGTATTTCACAAACCAGATCAATGCTTAAAACTGCTTGAAGCATAAAGTCTTGACTCTCACTCTCGCTCTCACTCTTTCCTTCCCTCCTGCCTGATAAAATAAATAAATAAATAAGCAAGCAAATAAATAAATAAAGTTGCATCGCTTCACTCTCTTTTTTTATCTGTGATTAAAGGCTATGATTATTATCAGTGAAGTTATCTGGCACCATTTTGGGGTTTGGGGTTTGATCAAGCAAACTTGAAAAGAACATCAAGCTTCTCTCATACACACACTATTTCTTTCGCTCTCTCTCTTTAAATTTACCTTTCTTGATTTAAAAAAAAAATGGGACAGAACTGTCAGGAAGCTGTCTCTCTTCTCCTAATTCTTAATATGGAACTTCTGACAAGTATACAGATTTGCCTTAATTATTTATTCATTTTATTGAAAGTGTCTTCATCTGCTTTAAATTTCTAATAAGTCTAATTTAAATAAAGAGAATCCTATTTGAATGTTGATTTCACATTAAAAAATCCGGAAGGTGGCTGTAGATGCACAGTCAAGGCATTTGGCACAAGCTCTTTCATTGAACACATTTCTTTTAAGCAACCCACTACTGTATTTTACTATAACCTAAAGATAAGAATGCACCAAGTTGGGTGCAAGTTTCTGTTTAACAAATACAGGTCAAACACCCTGCAAAAGAGCAAACTATGTCAAGTTTCCCCTCTTGTCCACCATGATGTGTTAGAATGGAAATGTATGATGTGGTGATGCTCTTCCTTATTCATTTCCAGAGGGTGTAGGCAGGGAAATGGACAATGTGATGATGTCACATCACATGCTTCCATTGCTTCACATAATGGGAAAAGGAGAAGGGAACTCAACAGAGGGCTGCCATTTTGTCAAATCAAGCTCTACCTTTAAATATCCAAATGTGGGGCTCATTTGGCTGTAGAACTTTTAGGCAAAAAAAGGGGAGCAGCTGTTACTCATTTGTTGCTCAGAGAAGCACATATCACAGCAAAGTGCCCTCATCGTTATGCAAACAGCAGTATTATATCACCCAGAAAATGTTATTCTGTCTTTTTATGCACCTGTTAGTCCTCCATGTGCCTGACACAGGTTAAAGGGAATCTACACATTGAATGGGAGGTAAAGCCACACCTCCTGCCCCTGCCCGAACATCACACACTCCAACTAGGCCCATCCGCACATGGACACAGAAAGATGGGGGGGGAATCTATGCACACATATCACTATTCATGCTGCTGTTGTTGTTAAATTTCTATAATGCTCTTCATCCGAGGATCACAGGGCATTTTACAATACAAACCCCCCAAACACATAGCATAATCACACACACAGTCAAACATAGCTTCCCCTACAGATACACTCAATGCATACATGAGGATGTCAGGGCTGGGGAACTGCAAGATGGGGGCAAATGGAGAGAGGCAAGCTGAAGTCAGGGAGGTAGAAGAAGATCACACTGGCTGCCAGGTTGCTTCTGGTATGTGACTAAGGAAGCACAGAAGCAAGACAATCATCTGTTTCAAAAGCAAAGCCCTATGCTGACCCGAAATCATTCATAATGTAGATTGGAGGCAGAGGGGGAGTGAAACCATACTGCTCCTTTCCCCTCGATTCTCTGTCTTCAGGTGAGTTGCCACAATGGGCACCAGGAAGCCTCCAGTTTGAGTCTTAGCTGGGACTGGCACTACCCTCTGCATCTGAGAGGACCTCCTGGGGCCTGGCAAGAAGATACCTAAGTAACATAACACTTCAGAACATTGTTATGCCTATATTGACCATGCATGTGCTGAAAGGCAGGTTAGAAGATGTCATCATATGGTTTGATTTAAAATATCTCTCTACAACAACAACAGGCAGGCTGTTGTTATAGAGAGATCCAGACTGTTATCCATCTATGAAAAGGAAGCAGGGGAGGATAAATACGGAAAAACATTGGAAAGCTGTGTTTAATTCAGACATATTGGCTGTATAATCACAGTTTTACAAGTAATGATAATGGCGGTATGGGGAGGGGGGCAGCATTGATAGCAGAAGATTTCCACATGGACAGCAAAGCCCCCACCTGAATGTCTGTTGAATTCTTCTAATCTGGCAACCTTTGTTGGCAAGGGGGGCTTTGTTCTTTTGCTTCACAGATGGTAACGGAAAAAGAACTGAAGGCTCTACAAGACATTTCACAGAGACACTTCTGACAGGTGATCAAATCACCGAAGGCTTCTCCCTGCAAAACAAAGTTCAGATGCGATGTGACAGCGTGAACATACCTTTCTGTGTGTTGACATTCATTTTAATAATAGAAAAATGCAAGCAGGATTTTGCGACAATGACAACAACTACCATAGGAAAGAAACAAAGAAAAAGTATACTCCTTCATGTTTTCAATGCAGAACTTCTCATCAATTAATCTGTTTCTTTAACTTGGGAATGACTGTTTTAACCAGATACCTTTTAACTTTCAATAGCATGAGCAGAAAGTCATGCGCTAAGGCTAAGGGAACCTTGCTCTCACTTCAAAAAAAGAAGGAAATGATCCTCTTTAGGATGGGATTATAAATGTTGGTGAAGATGCTATTAATGGTGTTAACATGAGAGCTTCCTACTAAATCATGTCCTTGATACTGGGAGCTAAACACATAAACAACGTTTCAAGGCTCCTGTCACTCAGAGGCACATTTCTGCAGTGCATAAGCACACCTGTCACTTCGAGATGTATACAGATGTTTTTTAATGCAAATAACATGCTCATTTTTAACTCTGAATTGTCCAAAAGTGTCTCAGCAATGGCATCAATATTTCATAAAAATTGTAATCTTAATCTTGTTGCAGCTTGGAGAAATAGATTGCAAGCATACACTATCTTCCCATTCTGATATACTAAATTCAAATCTCAGCCTCCCCCGTAATTCATTGTGAAGCACCATGAGTGTCATCTAATCTAATCTATATATCCCAGAACACATTTTTTCCCTGAATATATGGAAAGCCATTAGTGACAAAAGTATTAATATGATGAGTTGACCAATACCAACTTGATATGAGTTGTGACAAAGTTTATGATTTAAGTGTTAACTATCTCAATTATTTTATATTTAGATAGATATAGATGAATAGGGGCTGCATGTGCATGCAGAAGTAAGCCCCTCTCAGCTCAAGGGGTCTCACTGCTGATCTACGTTGTGCAGAATTAAGGGGGCTTTATATGTTACTTGGGATGCCTGAGAGCCATTTTTGCATTGTTAGTCTGTCATGGCCTACCGTATTTTTCGCTCTATAAGACACACCAGACCACAAGACGCACCTAGTTTTTGGAGGAGGAAAACAAGAAAAAAAATATTCTGAATCTCAGAAGCCAGAACAGCAAGAGGGATTGCTGCGCAGTGAAAGCAGCAATCCCTCTTGCTGTTCTGGCTTCTGGGATAGCTGCGCAGCCTGCATTTGCTCCATAAGACGCACACACATTTCCCCTTACTTTTTAGGAGGGAAAAAGTGAGTCTTATAGAGCAAAAAATACGGTAACTCTCTTCACTTGGCACAGAGAGGGTTGCTGAAGCTTCCCAGGTGATATCTACAAAACTGCAACCCCACTAGAAGCTTTGATGGAGGAAAGAAAATGAGGCCTTACTTCCTTACCACATGAAGCTGATGGTAATGTTGAAAACAAATCAATGGAATACTGAGTCTTTCACATGCATGTAAAGTGTTCCTCCATCACACAGATGATGGAGTAACTCATGTGCTCATTAGTTTCAATCCTTATAAGTTATTTCTTTTAAAAAAGTTATATCTTGCCTTTCCACTGGTTTATTCAAAATGGCTAACGAAACCAGTGTGCCATAAGTCAATGAAAAGTGATTGTTGTAAAGAAAAGAATTTTACAATGCCAACAGTCATAAAAATCTGACAGAAAATGAGGGCTGACTTTAGAGTCTGTTGCTGACAAGTGATGCAGTCTTTATGTCACTGAAATAAATGAGGGAAACCATTTTGCAAAGACATGCAGTGGAGAGCATATCAGAGCTCCAGGTGTAAAGGTCTGAGTCCAGTGTCTCTCAGGTCAGGATATTTGTTGTGGCATGCTTAGATGGTCAGTTAAAATGGTTATTCATTGACTTGAATGGTAGCATTCTACCCTGAAAAAGAATTAAAGACCACCTTGTTATATGCTAGAATATTTTTGAATAAGAAAATGGCAAAGCATTTGCAACAAACAGATGGAAGATATGGGAGTAATTGGAAATATTTATTGAGTTTGTTTTCTGAACGCAATGTAGTACTATCTTTTTTTTTAAAAAAAGGACTCTTTTAAAGTAAATAATATATGTTAATACTGTACATGCATCATATTCCACATTAATTAGGGATTTTTCTCCATCAAGCCCCATGAAGCAGTTGAAGTAGCAATGTCAACAACAGTTAATATGATTAAAACTGCATTCCTAATAAGATGTGTATCCCAACTTGTATTAATGTTTATTTTAAAATGCTTTTGTGTTGCTTTGCCATCTGTTTCTTGCTTTTTATGGTACCTAAATTCTACAGTCACAAGACCCAAGGGAGATTCCTTTTCCTAACGATATAACTTACACTCAGATGTTCATTCAAAGTTATGTTTTAACAGGATGTATCTAAGTGGGGAAATGTTCCTGGAGTTTTAAAACATAAACCTCTTGATGAACATGCAAATTGTAGTATCCTTTCTAGACAAAATGAGTCTTATAAATGTCCTTGTCACAGAGTTTAAAAAAAGAGAAAGGAAGAAACGATCAGCATTGTCAAAAGTAACATTTTTTATTTATGTAAAAATCTTACTAAAACTACAGCTAAGCTGCATTTGAATTATGACTTTCAAATCACCTTTTGGAGAATGCTGAAATCAATTAAACAATAAGTATATTCTCATTTACAAAAGAAATCAATCAGCTGTCATTTTTGATTGATTATACTTGGATAGAGTGCTGTTTAATCTATGAATTTATTACACATTATTCTACTACTATAAAAACAGCATGTGGATTAGGAATGAGAGGTCTCACAGTAAATGGGGAAAGAATTTTTCTTCCCTTTTGAAGTCTTGGTTGAGGCAAGCAACCATCTGCTCTTGATTTAGGTGGGTTAAATCTATTCAGCATCAAACTATATAACTTTCTATTAAAGGTCATGGAAATAAGTATTACCAAATATTATTCTATCAAAAGACATGCCCATGTTACAGTGTTTAGCTATCATTGTAGAATTTGTCTACAGGGATATGGAGCGAAAAACATACATTTACCAGTAAGGATTAACTATGTGGATCAGCAATGGTATTTATGAGATAAATATCCATTATTTCCGATTCATCAATACGGTAGTTCAGCTCAGCAAAGGAGCTGGCAACTGTGATTTCTTAAACTGGGACCCTCATCTCAAAAACCACCTCCTATACCACATGACAAACCATTTTTGAAACTTAGGGGACTTTTAAAATCAGTTTGTAATACGTCACCATGGGATACTGAAGGGTAATACATCTAGTGTAGGAATGTGTGTCCTGCATACAGGCCAATTTGCATCCCATAATTAACAGTGCTGCCCACCACATATTTTATTTTATTTTTTTATTTCATAAAATGTAAACACTGCTTGATTGTTAAAAACAAACAAACAAAAACTCAAAGTGCTTTACAAAAAAGTCCACCAGTTTGCTGAACAGGGACATCATCTAACTCTTCCCCCATCTACATTATCCATTTAAAGCAGTATCATACCATTTTAAATAGCCATGGTTTCCCATGGCAAAGAATCACTGGTCCTGTTGTTTCCTAGGGGTGCTGAAAGTTATTAGGCAACTCTTATTCCCCTCCCTGAGCTACAATTTCAATCCCTTGACACAGGGAACTCTGAGAATTGCATCTCTGTGGGTGGGATAACTGCATTATGGTTAGTGGCCATAATCCCAAAGAGTTAGGCACTGTTAAGAAAACTAAAGCTTAAGGGGGTGAAATCCAAAGGTGTCCATTTAGCAGTTGAATGCACTATTGATGTTTCACAACCTTAACCTGTTGCAGGATCTTAGCCAGACCCAGTTGAATATAGCAGAGCATACACAGACTTCCAGAAGCAATCAGTTGCAGGCAGGTAGGATGAAGCAGGAACAAGACGCTGCTACCAGTAACTTGGTTACTTAGAGGTGTTTATTACTTACAGCAGACTCACAAGTTACTATATACAGGATACAGACACGGATCTTAACTCTCTCACTGAACAAACTCCAAACGACTCTCAGAACACACACTATCCAACCAACTAACCAACAAGGAAGGTCATGAGTCATCATGCCTACGTGGAGACCTCAACCAATAGCAGAGTTGTATCCAGGGTCCCATATCTCTAGGCAGAATAACTCCCTCTGCTCAGTCTTCTTGGCCTTTGGCCAACTCTTTAATTGCTTCTGTGGAAAGTTGCATCAGATTGCACATAGTCAAAAATCCCAACATGCACACCATTGGTGGAAGGGCCTGCAGCCCCAGCCCCCAGAAAAATCCATGGACAATCCTCCAGAGCAGATTTGTAGGGGGCACAAGGTATATGCAGGTTGAAATTTTGTTGCGTGGAAGTAAGTCCACTTCCATGATATTGGATGCCACCATGAGTGTTTTTAATATATGTTGTATTAATTTTACTTATGTATTTATTAAGAAAACATGTACTGTAATACCCTAGGGGGTCTTTCTTCAAATAGCCCTAGTCAACAACAGAAGTTAAAACAGGAACTGAACAATTTGGCAAAACAGCAATACACGCTACTCAATTAGGCAGCCATAGCTTCATATATCCATGTTATAATGGTTAGCTGCTGGAGAGCTTCCCTGCTTTATGAAAGACACGGTAAATAAATAGCTTAAATGAATGAATGAGTCATAACTGCTACATGATCTAAGGCTTTCGTCCAAACTCTGCTTATGTGGTGCTATGGGGGATGAATTAAGCAAAGTCATTCCTCTGCTTGCTGTGTGGTGAACCTGGCAGACAGCCTGAAAATGGGTCATTTCAAGGACATGGCGGGGGCAGGACGGAGTCAGCTCAGGATCCCCCAAAACAACTGCTCTATTCCAAACTTAAAGATGGAAAGCATAATGCTGGTGGTCAGCAAAAGAGGTTTAAAGACTCGTTCAAGGCATATCTTTAAAAAATGTGGCATAAACACTGACAATTGGGAAACACCGGCCTGCAAGCGTTCCA